ATTATTATGGTTTTAAACTCATGTTTCTCATTTTATGGGAACAGGGTGTGACACACTAGATATTGATATATGCTTAAATATTGCTTTAAAATCTCGATCATTGAATATTATGATTATGTTTCAAAAACCTTGTTCTAGTCAAAATGAAGTCCTTGTTCAAAGTGTAAATAAAACATATATTTGTACTAGCAATGCGCCACGTGCGTTGCAAGTGACTAATTTTTTTTAAAAAATTAATAAATAATTATTTGGTATATATGTTTGAATTAAATATCATCTCAATTTACCAAATTTATTTTTTCATTGCTCATGCTCCATTATAGAATTTTTGAAAATTTTGTATATTTTCAAGATTGGTTATTCTAACTTTAAGAAAAATGATCGGTTATTATTTGATATAACATAGTTTAAAAAGTTTACTATAACTAAAAAATTATATAAAACTATATATACATTATTTTTTTCTTAAAAATAAATGGTTTTGATGAAAAATAAAATATACATACGTAGTCATAATATTATCTTTATAAATGAGATGAGTAATATTATATTAATGGAGTTTTTGAAGGTTTTTTTTTAATATTTTGTTAAAACTTATAATAATGCATATATTTTTGAAGAGTAATATAATAAGTCAAAAAGTTTCATAAAAATTGACATTTATAAATAAAGAATAAATAATTAAAAAATTAATTTGATTAAGATTTTACTTATAAATCATTTAATAAAATAAAAATAATTATCAATAAATTAATCATATTGGAACCTTACTGTATTAAGATTATCTAGGTCAATTGTGATAAAATTTAATATACAATGCTATAATCTATATAATAAAGTAGAGTTGAGTTTGAATCCAAGAGACAAAGAGTGGTTCAGATCGTTTTGAGACAAAACATAAGCACATCCGACGGACAATGTAATCTCAACATAAAAGACGGTTCAGATCATTTCAAAAATTTTGATCTAACGGTATATTGTGATTACCGAAATTAGTTTCCCCGCCCAACAAAATTCCTGTTTTAATTATAAGGGCTTTTTGCTTGACTGACGCCCCAGTCTCCTCTGATTCCCCCATATCTTCCCCTAAAATCTCTCTCAGAATCCTTCTCAATCTCATCCTCTGCCTTCCAAACTCATCCCCCAAAATCTTCCCCTACTCATCCCCAAAATCTCCAAAATCTCTCATGCCCAGCTCATCCCCAAAATCTCTTACGCCGAGGTATCTCAGTAATTGCTCTAACAATTTGTCTCCTCCCTTTCTCTCTGGAGTCCAACTCCGGCGACCCAAATATTCCAACATTCACCACAACTCTCACCATGCTTTTCCTAAACCCTATTTTTTTTTTTTTGAAAAAAAGGAGGATATATTGAAATGAGCAGAAATTACAAGAAGCAAGGAAGCCGGGCTTTAACAAAAACAAGGAAGCCAATGTGGCATAAACCATCAAAAAAGAAAAGGACATAAAATGGGACATGAAGGCCAGCAAAAGCCAGCTGAGAGTCCAGCTGAAGATCCAGAAAATTCAGCTGGAGGAAAGCTGGAAACCCAAGAGACAGCAACTGCGAGATGATGAAAACCATGAGGAATGAACATAAGCCCAGAACCAACACAGCAACTGAGAGCCCGCTGAGAACAAATCCCCAGCTGACTGCCGAAGGAAGCAGCAACAGAGAAACCCACAGCAGCAGACCAATAGCCAGCGTCAAGCAGATGAAAGAACCGCTGAGAGACCATGAGAAAATCAGCAAAACCAGCTGAAGAAAAAGAGACCAGAGGTGGCCAGCAGCAGCGACAAGAAAGCTGTGCACATGAACCATTGACACCAACAAAACAGCACAGCAATCACAGCAGCAAGTGGAGCCCATAAGAACCAGCAGAGAACCACAAAGAAATCATGGAAAACCAGCTGGAAACCCGTTGAGACCAGCTGGAAATCCAGCTGAAAACCCTCTGAGCAGAACCGTGGAAAGCCTTCAATGTTTACCAAAGATAAAGTCTGATAAAACCAGCTGTAGCAACAAAATGAGCCACGATCCCCAGCTGAAATCAGCACAAAATCCAGCTGAGATCCAGAAAAAACCAGCTGAAAGAGCCCATCAGTAGCCGCAAACAGGCTGTCCATGTGAACAGTAGCGTGAACAGTGTGTCATGACCAAAAACAGTTGAAAACCATCTGAAAATCACCCACAGCAGCTGCAATATCAGTAGAGGTCAGCTGAGAAAAACCGCCAGCAGCAGGAAGCAGACTGTTCACGTGAACAGTCGCGTGAATAGTACTCCCTGACCAAAAACAGCAAAAAAGCCACCGGAATGTCCCCCCCAGCTGCATTTAATGTACAAATGTTGCCTAAGCTTCCCAGCAGGGTAAAGGAAGCAAACACACCAGCTGCGAGAAGCCAAGCAATGAGAAACAAAAGCCCCAGCCCGATTGGATGATTCATAAGTAAAAACCAAAGAATCAAAAATTAGTAAACTTTTTCCTTGACGTTTTAACACCTTGTTGATCCTGGATCTGAATTAATTTTGCCCGGAAAGGAATCTTCAAATCACGTGTGAAATCCGAAGAGGCACCCTCCAAAACAGCAAGGTTTGCAAGACAGTCAGCTAAGCAATTTGCTTCCCTGTATACATGAGCCAAACTAAAATTCATGCCCTTCAATAACTCCATGATCTCATCACAAATCTTCCAAAACTTCCGGGCCCTCATGTGCCCTTTCATCACCATTTGGACCATCACCGCTGAATTAGTTTCAATCAGAAGGCCACAGTCTAACAGCCCATAACTTCTAAACAACAATAAACCATCCTTGAGTGCATAAAGCTCAACCTCCATGTTTGAACAAACCTCATAGAAAAAAGAAGCAGCCAAGACAATGTGCCCCCATTCATTCCTTACCACAGCTCCAGCCCCAGCTCTTCCAGGATTTCCTTTCGATGCCCCATCCACATTTAGCTTTAAAAAACCGGAGGGAGGAGGGGACCAGTTAATCCAAATAATTTTTGGTTCCAGTTCCTGCCTCATCTCCACCTTTAAGGCCCTCAAAAGATCCATCCCCATCATGCCTTCCTTTGCCTTGGGACGAGTACCATAAGCCCGAAGACGCAAAGAGGAGCAAATATCAAGAAAAACAGCATGGGCCGAAAGTGAGATATCTTCATAGACTCTTCTGCATCGCTCCCTCCATAGTCTCTAAAAGACCACCAGTGAAGTACCTCTTAATAGGTTATTGCTAACAGAGTTTTTTTTTTAAATTCTGATCAACCTCATCATACGAACCATGGGAGATTCAGCCGAGAAAATCTGAAATCCACAAAAGGCAGCAAGCTTCCCCCAAACCTCTTTAGTAAAGTTGCATTGTGTGAATAGGTGAGTCGTAGTTTCCACTTCCTGATGGCATAGAGGGCATCTACTGGCCAATTCAACGCCAATACGTTGGAAATTTGAGTCCACCACCACAGCTTTCATATGTATCTTCCATCCCAGCAGTTTTGCACTTGGAAAGACAGATTGGTTCTAGATCGCAGAGGTTATAGGCACAGGGTTATTTGAAGTTCTCACCGCCTGCCAAGCTGATTTGACATTGAACTCTCCCGACTCGGTTAATTTCCATATCAATCGATCTTCTTTGCCACATAAACGAATCCCAGAGTTATGGATTTCGTGCTTTAATTGCTCAGAAATCTGGACTCCCAATAACTGCCACTACCAGTCCCCTCTTGCCCATATCGCATCTAGACTTAGAAAGCTCGAGGGGGAGACATCGTGCCTGAGCAATAAAGGGCCAGATCCTGCCCAGTTCGTGCACCAAAAATCCACAGACTTCCCGTTTCCCACCAAAACCTAGGAGTTCTCCATAACCAAGCAAAAGAAAGGTTGCAGCATTCGAAATGTACGAGCTTTTGCAGTGCCCAGACATCATAACATGTGTTTGCCTTTTAAGAATTTTGCTCTAAACATGTTCGCCCAAAGAGAGTCACCCTTTAGAATTCCCCATACCTGCTTCCATCGAAAAGCAGTTTGGATGTCCTCAAATTTACGAATTCCAAGCCCCCCTCTTGCTTGGGTCTTAAAATATCTTGAAACTCAATGCCTTTTCCTCTCCCCCATCCTGCCTGACCAAATAAAGGAGGCCATCAAAGACTTCAACTTGACCAGGATGCCTTTGGGCACCCTAAGACAAGAGAGCAAGTGAATAGGGACTGCACTGAGGACCGATTGAACCAATACAATTCTGCCCATGTTTGATAGCAAGCATGCATACCACCCTTCCAATTTAGCCTTGAATTTTAGAACCACTTCCTCAAAATCCCGGAGTTTATATCTTCCTCTAATTATGGGGCAGCCTAGGTAGGTGAAGGGGCATTGTTTAATTGGAATTTGTGCAATTTTGGAAAGTGTCATTCTCCTGACCAGGGGAATTTTGGAGGAGCAGATTAAGGAACTTTTCTGCTTGCTTATTCTCTGACCAGAGCACTCCTCGTATCTTGCCAAAAATCTCACCATTTGTTCCATGGATAGTTTATTCCCCCTAAGAAACAACAGAGTGTCATCTGCAAAAAGAGGATGAGAAATAAGAAGAGCACCCCTCCCTGCATGAAAAGCCTTGATTCTGCCTTCACCATACAGCTTCATCAAGCCCCTGCTTAACACTTCCTTGGCCAAAATAAAGAGAGCAGGTGAGATTGGGCCACCTTGTCTCAACCCTCTAGACGAAGGAAAATTGCCAAATCTTTTCCCATTCAAGCAGACCGAGAAGAATTGGTTCTTTAGGAAGTTACCAATGATGGAAACAAATAAGTTTGAAAAACCAAAACAGCCCAAAGTTCTTTCCAAAAAGTCCCACACCAATGCGGTCATATGCCTTCATCATATCCAATTTAAGAATCACGTTGCCTGCTTCGACTTTTCTATCAAGCTCGCCCACCATTAACTGTGCTAAAGAAATACAATCCCCAATCCCTCTCCCTTTGACAAAACCGTGTTTTGCATTTGAGATCAGAGACGGAATGAGAGCCACAAGTCTATTGGATAGGACCTTCGTGAAGACTTTGTACAAAAAATTGCATAGGCTTATGGGCCTAAAGTCTGTGAAAGAGCAAGGCTTCATCACTTTTGGAATCAAACACAAGGAGTGTGGAGTTAACAGATCTTGGAATCACTCCCCCACTCAAGAAAAAATTAACCGCCTCCAAAAGGTCGCTTTTAACAATATCCCATGCTACTTGAAAGAATCTACCAGAAAAACCGTCAGCGCCAGGGACGCTTTCCACAGACATAGAAAAGACAACCTGTTTCACTTCGGTTAAGGTAGCAGTCATAGTCAAGATCTCGTTAGCCGCTGGTCCAACAAGTTTAGGAATAACCCCAAATAGCTCTTCATCAAGCCCATGGTCCTCTGACATGTACAGTTTAGCAAAAAAGGTTGTGGCCTGTTGAGAGATCTCCTCCTCAGAGTCACACCATTCACCATCTTCACCTTTAATCCTCATCAGTCTGTTCCTCACAGCCTTCCCTTTGGCCAAAGCATGAAAGAACTTGGTATTCCTCTCCCCGTGTAGTGCCCATTTTATGTTAGCTTTTTGTCTCCAGTACAATTCTTCCAACCTAAGTGTTTCCTCTAGATTCTTTCTTGCAGAGTAGTTATCATCCACAGAACGTTCTGCCTCTCGCAAAGCCAATTCCTGCATACTAATCTTTTCAAAAATGTTCCCAAACACCTCCTTGTTCCATTTTTTGATATTAAACTTTAGCATTTTTAGTTTGAGGAAGAAGTTCTCAGCGTTAGCAAACATTCTGTCCAGCCGTTGCCACATTCTCGAATTAGCCCCTCCGATTGAATACAGTCCCCAAATTCATCCATTGCCAACACAGATGGAGAGGCACCCCCCCATTCTTTCATTTGACCTCATCACAATGTTAAAATCCCCCATCACCAACCAGGGCATAGCAAAGGATGTAGAAATAACCTGTAAGTGTCCCCACAAGGGCCTCCTTAACAAGTAAGTCACAACAACCATACACCACCGTAACTAACACTGGATCAGCTCCCTGGTAGGAGACTGACACGGTCATAGCTTGTTCAAAGTGCAGCATGCTCTTAACTTCCAAGTTATCATTCCATAAAAGCCACATATTTTTCTCTGCCTTTGTGTTTGCCATAAAAGAATTTAACCCAACAGCAAGACCAAAATTCCTTAGTTTGGTATGGGACATTTTTGGTTCAATAACAGCGAGAAGACTCACCTTATTCATTACAATTAATTTCTTTAATTTGCTTCTTAGGCTCTCTTTTCCAGCACCCCTTACATCACCTTATTCATTACAATTAATTTCTTTAATTTGCTTCTTAGGCTCTCTTTTCCAGCACCCCTTACATTCCACATTAGGAAATTCATCATAAAGAATTTGTTTCATCATTACCTCTGGGACTATGCCCAGTACTGCAGTCGGAGTAGTTCACTGTTGTTTGGTTTAGCAAGATAATTCCTTGATCTTCATTTACAGTGGCATCTTCACTTGAATCAGCCCAATTTTTTGAGCTTTCTTGATCAGAGTAAAAGCCCCTGTCTGGTGGTTCTTTATCCCTCCTGAGTCCACTTTCGTCATCCACGGTGTAATTTTGTCTGCCTCTTAGCTCATACAGATGATCCACAAAGAAAGAAGATGAGGTAGGTGAATGAGATTGTTTATTTAACGAGCACATTACTGTACCTGCCATCTGTTGCACCTCTTTAGACCCTTCCGCCTGAGGTTGAGAAAATAGAGCATTATCCATACCGTTCTGTATACCCTTTTCACCTCTTTCGGGAGATACCTCCATTAATGACATTTCTTTCTCCTTTTCTGCGCCCTGTAACCTCTCCTCATCCGGTGTTACAGTAACCAAATCCTCCTTGTTTTTTGCCTCAGAACTTACAACAGTGCTTTTTTAAGTAATTGAATCCCCGTTATGATTTTCCGTTTCATCTTTTCCCTCCTCTGCGACATCCTTGCCCGAATGCTCTCCTCTTAACACATTAAATTTATTGGCATCCTCCTCTCCTCCTACATCTAAATTTATAGGATTCGAGAAACTGTGGTGCTTGGTGACCCTCTTTCACGGTTACTTTGGAATTCGCTTTTTTTGTGACTTTCTGCCATGCCTTATCTTTCCCCTTAAGGTCCTCGTCTTTTTTCGAGATGCCAGCTTTCTGCTTTCTTTCCTCCTTAGGGTTGTATGCCTGTTTGTCCACTTTGTTTTCCTCTTCCCTTTTGCCTTTACGACACTCGAGCATCCCATGGCCTTCTTTCAAACACCCAGCACAATACTTCACCAATTTTTCATAATTAATCTTTTGCCAACGCCCACTTGTTCCGCCAAAATCCAGCCAAAGACGAGATGGGTTATCAGCTAATAAATTAACTTCGACACATACGCTAGCCACACCTGGCCTAGATAATAGGAGGGTGGGTGAGTCAATTACAAGGATTCTCCCGATGGGACTCAAAATGTCCCGAAGGCTCTCCTTATCAAAGAGGTGAATTGGCAAACCTGGGAGAGAAATCCAAATAGGAACCACTGGTGGTTCAATCCCAGGCAGGAACTCCGAAAACCACTTGAAGAACCTGAACAAGAAGCCCTCGATGTGTGTTGCATCTGTGAAACCCGGGAAAATTTGAACTTTTTCTTAGAAAGGGTAAAATGGTAATTTGTCATCCTAATGCGTATTTAAAATACTCATGTTCTAGACCTCGGTTGAGGAAACGGAGTTCGCCGTTGGATTCGTATCGCAAAATCTAATCACCCTGTCAAATTTCGTCGAATTTCGAGATAGACGAATTTTTGCACGTTGTTCAAGGCAACTACGAGGCGAATGACATTTTAAAGGTCCCCAAAAATGAATTTTTTAATTTTTTTCTTAAAATCAAGTTAAAGTTCCAATACAATTAATTTTAACTAAATCTGAGGTATAACAAATCGTTTCGGAACGAAAAACGGACCCGGAAGTCTGAAATATGCGGTGCGATGTGGACCACACATTCAGGACTATAAATACCTACTTGACTTAAATATTTTGGAAAAAATATCTCATGTTCTTGACCCTTGGCCGGCCATAGAGAGAAGAGAATGAAAAGAGAGAAAAACAAGTAAGTTCTTCAAGCTTCAATCCAAGATTCTCGGAGTTTCGTCGGTCGGAATTCGTCGAGTCAAGAATCAAAGTTCATCTCCTCGACGAGGGTTACGTGTACGTACCAAGAAAAGTGGATTTCACCGAAGGTGCAAAGAAAAGACTTTGGAGGAATCAAAGGTTCTTGGGCTTGTTTTGGTGTTTTTTAGAAGTTCTACCACTTCTTACACGCTACAAGAGGTAGGGTTCGCTCCTACCTTGGTTTTATTCTTACCTTAAGTGGGCTTTTAGTGGCTGAAAATGGTTTATATGTGGGCTGTCCAAATAGACTGTTAAGGGGCTGAATTTTGGACTGTTAAGGGGCTGAATTACGGACTGTTTTGGTGCTGAAATTGGGGCTGTTTTGTGCACTAATTAGGGGCTGTATACAGACTGTTTTTGGGGCTGTTTTAAGGCCTACTTTGGGGCTATTTTGGGGCCTATTTTGGGGCGGTTTAGTGGCTAAATTTTGGGCCACTATGGGCTGATTTTCTTGTGGGCTGAAATATGTGCTATATTTTGTCTTTTAAATTAAGTGTGTTTTTGACATAGATTATGTGATAACATGCTTGTCAATTGTGTTGAATATAAATGTTGACACATGCTAGTTGATGTTTTGACATTGTGATGAAATTATGGGGATTATTAGCATATGATATAAATCGCCATGGTAGACATTGATGTGTAAAAATTGTTCCTTTGGCATGCATTGCAATATGAACAAGGAATTGGCATCACATTCATGGGCATGAGTCATGAGTGTGGATGTGTGTATGCATGGTTAATTAAACACCATTCTTGGTGATTAATGGGTAGACTCGAAAAAGTTAGGTTGAAAATCTGAATGAGTCACATGGTTGCATGAAAGAAAAACTTGTGTCGGGTATAGCAAGAAGGGGTAGATTCCCCCCTCGGGTGCAAGACTCGGCGACTTGGTTATACATTCCCCTGTAGTGAAATTCCAAAAAAGTGTAGTATGGTGTACGGAACCGGCGGTATAAAATCCAAAATCCGTTGCCCAACAAGACACAAGATTTTGATTTATAAAGTACTCATATAATGAGTAACACCCATTAATGATTTGGTTTTATAATAAAACAACTTTTATTTCAAACGATCATTTGGTGAATTTTTTCGTCAATTGACGGATTCAGTATACCTTGGCATTGCATTGTGTCGTGGGAGTCGATGATGACTTGGGTTTAAGTGTATGAGTGAGTATCATCTCATTTCATGGCATGACATGATTACATTCCACATTTAATGCATATTCTTGTATGGAATGATTGTTAAATGTTGTTTGTTGCTTATATACACCACATATGCATCTAAGGTGGAGAGTAGCCTCTAGAGGGATTATTCTACTGGGCGTTAGCTCACCTTATACTGCAAAACATTTCAGGTGGGAGAGATACATCGGTAGATGGCTCCAATTTGGACCCTCATGTTTGAAGAAAGCCGAATGTGGCTTTATTTTGTGATAATGTAAAACATTTGTGGAAATAATGTTTTGGACATGTAATATTTTGCAAATAATTGTAATAGAACTTATATAGACTATTGTTAAACTAACTTTGCATGTGTTGATATAAATATGGATAATTGGACCCGGTGTGGTCATTGTTGAATATTGGACCTCGGATGGGTCTTGTTATTATATGATTGCACAGGTTGAGTTTTTGGCAGAGCTTCCCGTACAAAGGAGACTCTGCCCGAATTTCATAAAAAATTATGGTTTCCAGTAAATGGCGCATAATGGCGTGATATCAAATTACTCGGTATCCACGGGTTGATGGGGAATCAACGGACCCCCAGATTTTGGGGTGTCACAGCATCCTTTAACCATGTCTTGACGTAATCCTCATTGTAATCAATGCGTGTCTTGGATCCAAGACCCCGACAGTGAAGTTGCCTTTCAGGAGCCATCTGGTAGTGATGAATTCCCTGATAACACCAACTGATGGTTAACCATATGCGCATTTTCCTATTAAGGTCTGGTGGAACTTCTTTGAGAGAGTTTGAGTTTCCTCAGAAGACCAATACATCCCAGGTTCCCCGTTATTGAAAACCACCCGTTTGGCTGGCCTAAAATAGGATGCTGAAGGCATTGGAGAGGAGACCCCTTCAATCGGCTGTGGAGACTGTGTATCCGAAGAGCTCGAAGGAGCCGAAGGAAAAATGAACACCAAAGGAGGCGAAGTTGATGGGGGTTTTTTTGAAAAGGGGAGCAAAATTTTTTGTAATATCAGATCCGGGTTGGAGATTGGGATTTGTGGGGAGGATACCAGAGGAGTTTGCGATTACCTGTTGCGATCCTGAAGCATTTGCACCATCTGCCCTAACTCGGACAATTGCACCGATTGTGGAAGGATTTTTGCAATATCTGTTGTAGATTGTAGATTCGGGTTTGTAGGAGGCATACAAGAGTTCTTTGTGACATCTTGCAACGTTGTTGAAGCTTTTGCCCCATTCTGAACATATCGGTAAAGTGTGCCGATGTTGACTGGGTTAAAGGATTTAAAGAAATCTTGGGGGTTGTGATGGAAATAAGGGAAACATCCGGTGGCTTAGGAGGGATTTGACTCTGATTTTGATCAGCAGTCATAATAAATGCGCAGAACAAAGCATAAAGATCAAGAATGCAGGAAAAAGCAAAGAAAACCTAGAGAGTGGTGAGAGCTTCTCTCACTAGAAAAACAATAACTGCCCTTGACTAAACCTAAACCCTAAAACCCTAAACTCTAAACACTAAACCCAAAATGACACAAAACCTAATGCAATACTAATAATGTCCAAACTATAGACAACCGGTGCCTGAAGATACCATCTAACATAAAAAAAAGTAGTTGATTTGGAACATTTCTCCTTCCATTGCTTGAATAAGAGAAATTGAATTCAATATGGGTTTTGCTAATTTTATAAAAAATTCTAACGGAATTTCCTCTAAAAATAGGAGTCCAAATAAATATCAACTTGTCACAAAATTTATATATCTCATAATCATACCTAAACCAATTACTGAACTCATCGTCATATTATAGTCTTGTCTAAACACGGCTATCTACAAATTACCACAACATCATAGTGATATTAACCATTAAAAATGATAAATAATGACCTTTTGGGAAAAAACAATGATAAATAATCGTAATTATACAATACACTTGTAGGTAGTAGCAAAATTGTAGTGATTGCTACTATCAATGTTTATTCTTTAACCTAGGCACACCTCATGGTAGCCATCCTCTTGCCCCATCAACATGTCACAACAAACAATACAGATCCAAATTTTACCTAGACCAATAAAAAAAACTGTAATTTGGTGATTAATTATTAAAAAAAAGGAAATAGTACCATAGAATTTCAATGCTAGTAATTTGGTAAATGCATGCTTAAAGAAAACACGGCCTAAATTAGTTACTGCACTCACCATCACTGTGAAACCTGGGAAAAATTTTAACTTTTTCTGAAAAAAAATGGCAAAATGGTAATTTGCCATTATAGTGTGGGTTAAAAAAAACTGGTATTTTTATAGACCTCGGATGATGAAACGGACCTCATCGTTGGATTCGTCTCACCAAATCTAGTTACCCAGACAAATTTCGTCGAATTTTGAGATAGTCAGATTTTTTACGTTTTTCGAGGTGAAGGGTGTTCGATGACCCCTAAAAACGAAATTTTTATAAAAATTTGAAAATTTGAAAAATATTTTAAATAAATTTCATATAAAATATTTTGAGCTTAAATCGGTACGAAATTTAATCGTTTCGGGATAAAAACGGACTCGGACAAAGGACGACACTTGGCGCGACGAGGGCCAAGTGTTTAGAAAATATAGGCTGGATCAGACCCAAGAGCAAAGAAGAAAAAAATATAATTCTTCAAGCTTTTTTTCGCCGATTCTCGGAGTTCCGTCGGTCGGAATTCGTCGGGCCAAGAATTAAAGTCGATCTACGCGTGGGTACCAAAAACAAAGATTTTCACCGAAGATTCAAAGGGAGGATTTTGGAGAAATCTAAGTTTTGGACTTCAATCTTGTTCTTGAGGCTTCCTTCAAATTCTTTACGCTTCAAGATGTAGGGTTCCTCGTACTCGGACCTATTTCTAACCTAAGGTGTCCATAGGGTTCATGTGGGCTGTTTTGGGTATTTCTAATATTTTTCCATTATGATTGGTGCTATGGAAATGGGTAGGATCAATTCTAGTGTGAATTGGTAGTTAGAAAGTGCTAGTTTGTGATTTCTTGAATGTTTAGATAATTGGTTATATAAAAATCATATATTCTGATTTTTATTTTGTTTGAATGATCCATATAAAATCTTGGCTTGATTTTGGTATATGGAAGTATTTATGTAATCCCTTGGAAATTGGGATCATGTGGGCATGCTTTGTGTTTTATATTATGCCTTGTGAATTAAATGTAATATTAGCATGTATTATGTGTTATCATGTTGATGGAGTGTTGATATATGCTCTTGGATATATTGAACTTGAAATGGTTATGTGATTATATGCAAATGATATTAATTGTCATGGTATACAATGATATTTAAAAATTGTCATTTGGCATGCATTGCAATATGGACATGGAATTAACATCACATTCATGGGCTACATGCATGAGTGTGGGTGTAGGGTTGCATGGGGTGATCAACACCAACATTGGTACTTGATGGTAGGCTCGGGAAAGTGGGATGGAACGTCCTACGGAGTCGCACGGTGACATGCATAAGAAAACTTGTGTCGGGTATAGCAAGTAGGGCTAGACACTCCCTCGGGTGAAAAACCCGACCACTTGGTTCATACACTTATCGGCGGTGAAATTCCAGAAAAGTGTAACGGCGTACGGAGCCGGAGGTGCGATTCCTGAATCCGATACCCCATAAAGGCACATGATTTTGAAATATAAATTATTCATTTGATGGGAAACATCCAAGAATGAATTAGTTTTATGACATATGGTTGATTTCAAAATGATCTTTGGATGTGTTTCATCAAAGACGTTTGTTTTACACGTAAGTGTCGCATTGTGTTGTGGGAGTCGGTGTGGGCTCGGGATAGCATGCATGGGTGAGTTTCATCTCATTACTTGGCATGGCATCATGATTTTCCAACATTGTATTATATGTTATTGTTGGAGGGAATACTTGTTGTGAAATGTTGCATTTATACATTGCATATGCATTTTAGGTGATGAGTAGCCTCTGTAGGGATTATTCTATTGGGCATTGGCTCACCCTATACGGGAAACATTTCAGGTGTGGGTCATGCACCAATGGACTGCTCACAATCAGGGTCACATGGTTGAAGAAAAGCCGACTTGTGGCTTCCAATCCATTTTTTTTTGTAAAAGTAGATTTGTAATTAAATTTTAGCATGTAATGTGTAAAGGAATTGTAATAGAGTATATATGGACTGTTTTAATATAACCTTGCATATTTTGATATAAATATGATGATTGGACCCGGTGTGGTCAAGTTTTATGTATAAAATAGACCCTGTCTGGTTATTGTATTATATTGGACCTCGGATGGGTCATGTAAATGTTGATTGCACAGATTGTGTTTTGGGGTAGAGCTTCCTGTACAAAGGAGACTCTGCCCGGATTTCGTTAAATTATGGATCCCGGTAAATGGGACACAACGGTACGATATCGAGTTATACGGTATCCACGGGCATTCCGTGGGTTGATGGGAAATTAACGGACCCCATGAATTTGGGGTGTCACAGCTTGGTATCAGAGCCTAGGTTATACGATTTACCTAAGACTTGTTGGGCATTGAGACTAGACCATTGCATGCATTGTGCATCTCATCTTATGTGCTTAAATTGTTACATGTTTTATGCAACGTGTTATGTGAAACATGATTATTTGCTAAGTGATTATGTGAATGATATGCATGGTAAAAGGCACATGAAAAAAAAAAAAACACAAACACTAGGGTTAGAAAACATAACCTTGGGTTCAAAAAAAAAAGGAATGAATGGTATAGTTTTATGTGTAAATGTCTACTAGTAGGTGGCACACGCACTACTAGTGAAACAAGGAGGAAAATCTCCAAGTTTAAATACTTGACTTCTATCTTGGGATACTAAGTAAATGCTATGTTTCTATTTGACATGTGTGTAGATGGAAAATAGAGGAAGGGATAGAGGACGCGGTCGAGGCAGAGGTGGTAGGCGGAACAACAACCAACCACCACCGGCCTTTGACCAACAAGCCTTCATGGAGGCTATTGGTGCAGCGGCGGCTACCATTGCACAAGCTAGTGCTACAGCCGCTACTATTGCACAGACGGGTACAAGTGGGGGCCAAGGAGGCTCCAGTCATCTCCAGAAGTTCAAGGCACATCAACCGCCGATCTTTATGGGAGGGGCGGACCCGATGGTAGCTGATCATTGGTTCCGGCAGGTTGACAAGATCTTGAGGGCAATGGAGATCACCTCTGACGCCACCAGGATAACTCTAGCTACATTCCAGTTGGAGGGGGAATCCCAAGTATGGTGGGATTGGGTGAAAGACTCCAAGACTCCATTATGGGTGAAAGACTCCATTATGGATCCCGGTAAATGGGACACAACGGTACGATATCGAGTTATACGGTATCCACGGGCATTCCGTGGGTTGATGGAAATTAACGGACCCCATGAATTTGGGGTGTCACAATCACGTCGCATTCATGCTTCAGTATAACCATTTTATCAATAATTGCAGCAACATAGTAGTAATATTAAATCCAAAATTATCAATTGAAGCAATAAAAAAATCTATTGCAATAACAACGAAATTATACATGTTAAATCTTTTTAACATGAAAATTCAAAAAATATATAAAGACGCTCATGAAGAAAGAAAAGAATGACATTAGTTTGAAATGAGATTTATGCGAGGTGTTACAAATATATCACTAAGACATTATGACCTTTTTATTTTAACATGAAATATGACATATATTAAAGTCATTCGACTTGTTTTTACATAAAGAATTCATATTTGAAGTCCATTTATTTATTTAAAATTTTTAAAAGTAACCCTAAGTTATATAGAATCATAATTAATGACCTAATTAGCGTATTGGTGATTAATTTTTATACAAGTCGTCACATTACTAGTACTCAATGCCCTTACCAATGGACCGAGGAGAACAATGGTACTTGTGCAGACCTTGATATCATCATGTATGGATATTGGTAAACAAATGAATACATGCAACCCTTAAACAAAAAATTCGTCATAGCATTTCCGTCAAAAACCCAAATTTAGCATTTCAAACCTCAACCAAAACAATCAACAATTCTAATCAGACCAAACAAATCCTAAAAACAATGTACGAAATCAGTTCACATTCACCAAACAAAAACACAAAATCACACTTATGCCCACTTGCCTAGTTTACTAAACCCAAGTAGTGCCGAATCGAAATAGTGCTCAGGTAGTTGAATAAATAAGAAATAAAGATATAAAAGCCTTAACATGACAACTACTCCTTGTATAACCAATGC